CTTGTTGGGTCCTTTAGTCATAGCAGTGAAAAAGCTGACTAAAACAGCATATTAGGTTTCAATTCTGATGCTTTGTAGTTTTCTCATGTCCATTCCTAGAAAAACCTGTCAACCTTTATATTGAATTAATCTTGTGTTGTCATGATTCTGATGGTCAAAAGAAAACCACAGGTATTCTATAAAGCATAGCATTTCAAAATTTCATATCAGTAGGAAACAAAACATGCAAAACAAAATGGTCACATAAGAACAGAAAGAATGCTTACAGAAATGTTGAGAGACACTTATGAATGGAACATTTTGGGGGCGGGTATTGGAAACTGAACTCAGGGCCAATCAACCACTGAGCCACATCCCCAGCCATATTTTGTATTTTATTTAGAGGCGGAGTCTCAATGAGTTGCTAAGTGCCTCGCTATTGCTGAAGCTGGCTTTGAATTTGTGATTCTCCAGCCTCAGCTGACTTGCTGGTATTACGGGCGTGAGCTACTGTGCCCAGCTGAATGAACCATTTTAAGAATAAAGATGAAGAAATAAAACAAAAAAAAAATATGATTATTTTTCTGCTATTTGAATAGCCARAAGTTTCACTTGTAATTTAAATATAATTTAAAACTGCACCTTATTTTTTTTTTTAAAGAGAGAGTGAGAGAGAGAGGGGGACAGAGAGAGAGAGAAAATTTTAACATTTATTTATTTTTTCTTAGTTCTCGGCGGACACAACATCTTCCTTTGTATGTGGTGCTGAGGATCGAACCCGGGCCGCACGCACGCCAGGGGAGCGCGCTACCGCTTGAGCCACATCCCCAGCCCCAAAACTGCACCTTATTAATGAGTTCACACAGGTGTGCCGCACTTAAAGCTAGCTGTGTACAAAGTCATCTTGTTGGGATTTGCTCTTAGGGATTGGTCTGTCCTAAATCTTCAGGGAGACAGAACAGCATCATGGGTAAATGTGCAGGTCTCAGCATCAGGATACAAAGGGTTATGCTACTGTCTCTGCCATTTATCAGTTGTTTTAATTTAGGAAAGATAGTTGAGCTTCTCAGTTCTTATCAGTTTCTTCAACTATAAAATACATTACAGTACTTACCTGAGAGATTCTGAAAATCAAACAACTTATATGAAGTATGTAGGTGAATAGGTATTCTTGATCATAATAAACTCGGTAAATAGCTGTAGCTGCTGTTAGGATTATCTGACTTCAGGCATGAGGAATGAATTTAACTTAATATGTTGCCTCTTTCAGGAGCAACAATGGATTTTAATTGTTAAAGAAACATAAATCAAGGAGAAAAATTTTAATGGAGATGGCACAGATGGGATTTCTAGTACTCCTGCACTTTCCTGGGGGGGGGGGTAAAGCTAATTTGTCCTGCAGTATCACTTTTTTTTTTTCACCCAAAACATTGCTGGTGGCAAGAATAAATGTGGACAACATGTAGAAATGGTAAGTGGAACTTTCTTCTCTCTTGGCATTACTATCATGTGTTTTAAATCCCTGTTCATTGCATTTATTCTTCTACCTGCTCATGTATCTGTCTATATATTCATCCATCAACTCATCTATCCATACACCTATCCTCTACTGAGTGCTAGGCATTGGAGAGATGATGTAGGTTAGGTATACTTCCTGTTACTAGGGACTGCAATGAGGGATAGGGTGGAGGTTCAAGGAGGGTGATGACAATTGCAGTATCAGACATTTAAAGACAATATTATTTTGAAAATAACTTGGTATAATCATTGTGATATGTACAGGATTTTGTGGAAATAGGGCACCAAGGACTTCCCACAAAAGTTTCTTTACATTGGATTTTAATGTTCACCACCTCAGTATGAAGAACATTCTTTTTGGTAATTTGTTTTTACCAACATACAAAGGAAATGTAAATGTTCCACAAATTAAAAGTCCTCCATTGCTGATGGGAATGCATAGAGCCATTTAGCTTTTCCCTGGAAGTCTGACCTCCTTAGTCATCTTTAAAGCCTAATGTGTTTGTATTTCACTGCTGACATTCCACAGTGGACTAATATCTAACCGTGGCTTGAGGGCTGCTACATGTTTAATGTGAGACAGGGTCTGGAAAAGCTAAGGCTCAATTGACTTGGTGAAGTATAACTTGGGAGTCTCATTTCTTTCCACCCCTCTTCTCAATGGGGACAGGAGAAACAACTGCATTTTCATTTATTAGGAAATGGGTTAGTCAGTGAGCCTTTTATTAATCCACCCCCTGCAAAAGATACAGACTGGCAGTCATGATCTTATCCTCTTTTTTAAGCTGCTGCCTTGGAAGTTATTTGTGTCATAAATTACCCCAAGAAAAAAAATTTTTTGTTAGAACCATTTTGAATGAAAATCATTATTGCCATTGTTGTTACTGATATTATTATTATCCAGACTTTAACATGATCAGAAGAGGAAAGAGATCCTGTGATACTAACAGCACCCTGCTCAGTTATAGCTAATCCCCAAGTCTTTATGTACACACTGATTTGGACATAGTTATTAAAGGAAGGATTATTATAGAAATCTCATTCTAGCCCCATCATATCTTAATAGCAGTTCTCTGGGTTTTATTTTTAAGACAATATCAAATTTTCAGAACTTTAAAGCCCAAATTCTTTATGTGTATATGAAATCCAGCTACATTTCATTATAGTTGAAAAAAATTAACCCAGCAGACCAACAGCCTGGATTTCAGTTTGCAATATACAATATTTGTTTTTTCATCTTAAATACTTCAGAAGTTGATTTAGGGTATGCTGTGTACCACCCATGATTTATTTCTCTTGTGATATAAAATCAATAATAAATAAAATAAGGAATTAAGTAAGTTTGGGTTTCTGAATTCCAAGAGGTAGATAAATGTTCTTTTATAATTTGAAAAGTTGAAAGAATGAGAATTAAAAAATTGGCAAGGATTGTGTGCCAATACAGATGTGCCAAGCAATGAATTCATATGACTCTCACATCCTAAAATTCAGTCTTTATGTACATTAGAACTGAAGTATGACTTAGTGAATTCTTTAGTTCCTACCTTTTGATTCTGGTTGAATTTTGAACACAGAAAGGGTTCTAGTATGTGATACTCAACATCTGTTGTTTTTTCTGCAGCTCAGGATGCTACCCATCCCATTTCCCATTCTTATAACTGTGTTGGGCTAAGCAAGATCTGAATAGCACAACCTGCTAAACTTGGGGCCCAGAAAGGCTGAGACACACAGGCAGGAGCAGACTTTTTACATCATGTGGCTCTTATTCAACACTGGCAAATCCCTTCTGATCTTTTCACTACGAGGAAGACAGATCTAGGGACTGGGAGAAAGAAGGACGATATAGCTCATTAGTTTATTCCTTTATTCATTCACTTAACTTATAATCATTTATTGAGTGCTTGTTTTGTGACATCAAGAAGCACCAAGGTTGATTCTGGAAATTTGAAGATGAATAAGTTACTATTCCTGCTTTCAAGGTGCTGCAGTCTAGCAGGGTTTCTAGCTGTTTGTGGCTGGAGATGGAATTCAGGGCCTCATGCATGCGTGCCCTACCAACTGAGATATACCACTATACCTTAGAACATAGTATAGGTTTTGGTGCTGTCTGCAATTTCAGGCATCCACTAGGTGGTCTTCAAAAATATTCCTCCCAGATAAGGGGGAACTATTGTCTTGCTGAAATTATGGTTTCAGAAACCTTGTGCTATTGGTGGAATCTACACTGGACGCAGGAGGAAATTGCTGGGGAAGGATGCATGTAAGGAAAGGAAATCCTCAGGCTGATTTATTGTTTAACACTGTGTACACAGTGTGCTATGCTTGCCTCAGTCAGATGAAAAAGGACATAGTCCCTGTCCTTAACAAGTCACATATTTTAAAAATAACATTTTGACCTGCTTATAAAGTAAATATGATTTAAAATTAAAATTCAAGCTACAGATATCTAATAAAACTAAAAAATGACCTAAGATCTCACCAAACTGGATTTCATATTTTATTACAAATTTCAGAAGAATATATCTTAAAAGAGCAAAGATTCACCAAGGACCTCATTTACACGAAGAGAAAGAGTTCAATGTAACAACATATTGCTAAAAATAATTTATACACATTTTAGTTTTGAGGGGCGCTGGGAGTAAAACAGGCAGGGTTAGTCCCTAAAAGATTTAAGAAGAGCGAGTGCACTGCTTCCGCTGGTGCAAGAGTTCTAGGGAGCATGTTTCAACTTTTACAAATGTTCCCAAAACTTATCCCTACAGGAGCCGCCCAAGCCTGATGCGCTTTGCTCCCCAACCTGGTCGCAAATCACTGACGCATGCGCAGTTTAGTCTCCGTGTCACCGGCCTATTTTTCTCAGGCAGGTTTTTTTTTTCTGCGGTCAGCAAAAGGGCCAGAACTGCTACAGTGACAGTTCCGAGCCTGAGAGAGTAGAGAGAAACCAGCACTAAGTGAAAAACACTTCGTGTTGAGATAGGCTCCGGGTGGAGTCGTTTTTGAAGAGGTCTTCACACACATACTTTAAAAATGCCAAAAGATCTTTACAGGAAACTAACTTGGAGGAACAGTCTGAGGAATTCTCTGTAGAACGGACAGGACAGGAAGGGGCGAGGGGGCGCCGATCTCAAACTTTCAGCGCCGATGCTTTGTGCTTGCTTCATTTCTCTGGGGAGCCCGGCTGCCCCAATTAATCTGACTTTCCTTTGAGACCCCCACTTTGAAAAATTGCATCCATTGTTTAGGATGTCCCAGGAGGAACCCCATCGTATTTCAGGGTTTAACCACATTCTCCAGGAAGCTACTCCAGTAGAAAATCCCTGGATGCCTGGGGTTGTGTAAACTCCGCGAATCGGAGGGTTCGCGGGTGGGCGGGGGCTCTGGGATCCCCTTTGTAGCTACCACCCCCTACTCCGCCTGCCCCTCCCCTACGCCCCGCCCTCGGCTACCGACCCCAAGCCAGGGCGGCTCGAGCGCTCCCACCCGCGCCTCTGGGGACTCGCAGACAGCAGCAGGACCGGCCCGGCGCGCTGGGCATGCTCAGTCGCGGGGCGCCGGGCTCGCGAGTCGGAAGCCTGTGCTCGGTCGCCGCCGCCGAGCCGGCCCGGGCGCAAGAAGAGCGCGCGGGACTCGCTGCAGCAGCGGCCCGGCAGCGGCTGACCGGGTCCCAAACCAGAGTCGAGCTCTGCGTGGCGCCCCTGATCCGCTGGCCGTGGCGCCCGAATCCTAGAACCTGCCCAGGCAAGGGACTGACGGCGGCTGGCGTCGGCGGGGCGCGGAGGAACCGCGGTAGCTGCGGCCGCATCCTCGCAGCCTGCCCCAGCCGGGTTGAATCCGGGAGCCGTCGGACATGGAGCCATGGAAGCAGTGCGCTCAGTGGCTCATCCACTGCAAGGTGCTTCCTGCCAACCACCGGGTGACCTGGGACTCAGCGCAAGTGTTTGACCTGGCGCAGACCCTCCGCGATGGAGTCCTGCTTTGCCAGCTGCTCAACAACCTCCGGGCGCACTCCATCAACCTGAAGGAGATCAACCTGAGGCCGCAGATGTCCCAGGTAAGGAGGCCGGTTGGGCGCCCCCGCCTCCTGCCGGTATCTCCCATTAATCATCTGGCTAATTTCTTTGTGTAAATGCAAACATCTAGGTGCGCTCAGCTTGCCCTGCCTCCCAGCCTTCTGCTTTGGGGACCACTTCAGCTTTTCCTACCTTGGCTGAAAATGGTTTAGCTCTTCAGCTGCATGCTCAAGCTTTGCGTCCAGAGATGGTGCAAGGATTTCGTAAAGGCTTTTTGTGAGGCGGGAAGAAAGAAGTTGTCTTAGGGTGCCCTTCACCTATTGTGCATGTGTGTGTTTGTGTAGGGCAACAAAGAGAATTTGATCCAGCTCTTCTGTAATAACGATGGGAAGGGATGAAACGGGGTGATGGGGTAAATTTGCTTTTAGTTTGTTCTTCTGCTTTGCGTTTTGTTCCCATGCTCTTTTGAAAGAGGAACCATGACATACATGAGGACTCTAGGAAGTGGAGGGCGTTTGGTACCGTTATCTGAACAGGAATGACACTGGTCGAAGGAAGGAAAAGGAGCAGGACGCAGAGGCTGTACCCGAAGGCCCCCTGAGCTGGTGGCCAGCTGGCAAGCTGGATGGTTGTGTTTACAGCTCTGCTGAAGCCATGTGAGAAGGAGTCCAGCCTCACTCAGCAGCGACAGGAAATGAAAAGTTTCACTAAAGATTCCGCTTTCTTTCATTCGGTCCTGTGCTCAGGTGATGTGGTATACATCGGACTCCCATGGCCGAGGCTTGCCTGGAGATGCCTCTTTTAGGGTTTTAAAGAAAATGCAGCCCTGGAAGGCTATGTGCTTTTTACAGGCAGCTCAAAAGTCAGAATGCAGCCGAATAGTGGTTTCTTGGTCCTGTAGGAAAGTTTCTATTCAGAAGGATGATAACACCATTCATAATCTTTGTTTTCAGTTTCTTGTTGTAAAAACCCAGTTTCAACTTAGAAGAGTTTCTTTTATGAAACATTAGTCCCATAGCAACCCAAGTAGTGCCTTTTTAAGAAGGAACATAATTATTAAATCATATAAAGTTTATACGATTTATTAATTATGTATTCAGAGTGCATACACACTCACCTCTGGTTCTCAATGTCATTGTTTTATGAGGGTCCCTGTACTCTTCACATTCTACACCCCTTGCCCATCTGCTTTTAGCCTTGAGCAGTCTCCAAGAAAGAACAGGCAGGTAAGAGGTGGGAGCCATATGTATTTAAATATAAGGTAAACTGTTTTAAACCCACACACAAACCTGCATAGTGATTGCTAACATTGTAGACCCTTTAACAACTGTCCCAACTCTGGATATCCTTTTGAGGAGTTTAGCAGAAATTTGTATTTTGCAGGAAGCTGCAGTCAGTCGGTTAGCTAGTCCCATAGATCCCTGTTTTTCACCTTCCCTGTAGCCTCAGGAAGCAGCATGGGTCAGGATGCTTTGGCCCACCAGCACATAATATGGTACTGTGCACATTTCCTGAAACTTCAGTTTCCTGAAACTTTCAGAGGTTGTACATTAAGTTGTTTTCAATAATCAAGTTTTCTAGACGGTTGAAGATTACCCTTTTAAAACTTTATTTGACTGTTAACAATTGATGAAAATTTTTTTCAAATGTGTTTTGCTCTTTGCCTTTTAGAATGTATTAGATGTAATTTAATCTTTTTGATGACTAAGGATTGTCATTATAAGCATAATTAATGAAAATTGAGCACATACAATTCTCTAAGAGGTCTATTCCCTACTGAGGGTACCACAATGAGCATAGCAGGTACTTGCCCTAAAGGGATTATTACACTCCTATCAGACAAACCACCAGGTTATAAAGAGGTAAGTGGGACAACTAAATGTCTTCCTTAGGCTGTTTGCTTTGAGTTCATAAGATTGCCTAACCCTGAGCTTTTGGGTTCCAAATCAAGTCCAGTTCTCAAACCTGAATCTGGTAAGGCTAGTATCTGAATACAGTGGTGCCTGTTTTTGCTTCCTTGTTGATTCTTTACCACATTGTAGAGAGATAAGGTTCTGAATGGCTGAGAAGCAAGACAGATGAATTTGAATTACATAGGTCATCATTAAATCCTTATATGAGACTTATTAAATGGCTTCATGAAACACGTTGACATATTTAATATGCCTTAGTGCTCAGACATAACTGTGTACGTAATGTTCACTTTTAGGAGTAATAGGTTCCAATTACAATTTTAAAAGAATCACAAAGGTTTATAGTTTCTTTGGACTGACATCTATAAATATTCCTGCCTCATACATTTTTCTTGGGAAAAGATCTGAGGTTCCCACTACATCAGCTGTGTGCATTGTGTATGATGAATAATCTGTTAACCTAGTACATTCCAGACATTCAAGCCAACAGTTTCTTCTTTGGAATTTAGAGGTCATTACCACTACTTATCTCTTCACTATGTTAGAGTTAATCTGAGTTAGTCTACCTGAGCTAGGTTCTATTGAAGATATTAATTTTATATAGACTATTTTCTTAAGCATATGATTTTCTTTTTTTTTTTTTATTGGTCGTTCATAACATTACATAGTTCTTAATACATCATATTACACGGTTTGATTCAAGTGGATTATGAACTCCCGCTTTTACCCCGTATACAAATTGCTGTATCACATCAGTTACCC